AATGCTTCACTACTGAATATACATTAGCAGGGACACTTAGAACTGGTCCTACTTTTACACCTGCAAAAGAGGGTCTTTTCATTAAGGTGAGAAAAAGCGGAACAGGAATATGAGGAAAAAGAGTCTGATGAAACTTCTACTAAGCTGATTATACATGGTGTGAACTACTTCTGTGTTATTAGCAAGCCTTTCTTCTTCAGCTTCGCTTATCAAGAAAGGGGTAGAAGGAGTGTGCCACTGCTTCTCAAGTTAGTACAATTCAGTTTGCCCTCTGGCAAACTGTCATAGGAGCAAATTAAAGTTCTGCATATATATTATTAGGCTTTCTATGTAAATGATTAAACCCACTAAAAACCAAAAGCTGAAACATTTATTTGAACCTAAACTGTATAGTTCTCACAACTGTTCTGTTTTCTTCCATGACAGACAGGAATTGTTTCCTTGGGGAGGGGAGGCAGAAACATTAAAACTGTTAAAAGGGAACTATCAATATTTATATATGTTTCACGTAGCTTGTGTTACTGCCATCAGCTGGAAGACTTAAAATTGAGATATGTTAGCAAACCAAAAGCCTGATCCCATAAGCTGTGCGCCCTCCATACCCATTGGTTTCAATGGGAGTCCAGGATGCTCAGCAGACTGCTGGACTGGATCTAGAATGTTTCTTTTCCCATGTGTACAGCTTAATATTCTGTTGTTGTTTGCTCTGTTTACACTATAAGCAAAGAAATTGGAGATCTGATAATGCCGAGGCATCAGTCTATTCTTCCCTATTTTCATTCAGCTATCACAAGTATATTTGGTGAGGAAATTTCAACTGGAAAGATTTTTCTGACACAAAATGCAGTTTCCACAAAAATGCAGGTTCCCCCCAGCACCATCTGTATGGGGGGGCAGGGGAGGCAGAGGCACAGCGGGGAAATGGCACGAGTGGGGACTGAAGCAGTCCCCGCTTGTGCCGATTCCCACTGCGGTGCCTTCAGCTTTTGAAATGTAGCAAGAGCCCCCACGGGCTTTATGAGAGGCAGGGGGGGGGGGGGGGGGGAAGGGAAGGGACAGGAGCCAGCTCAAAAGACAGTTTCCCCCAACACCCTCTCTGGGTGCCGTCTCCACCTCACACACACCCCACTGCCTCTAGCAAAGGCAGCAGGAGGGGGGAATAGTGGAGACTGCTGTGAAGCAGCCAAGCAGCGGCCAGGGCTGGCTACAGACAGGGGCTGCTGCTAGAGCAGGCCCTGCCCTGTGGACAGCCCTGTCCACTGCGAACAGGGGCTTCTTGGCAGCAGCAGCTCCTGTTTATGATGGACAGGGCTGTCCGCCGTGAACAGGGGATGCTGGATCCAGCACAAGCTGGGACCGAGCAGTCCCAGCTCGTGCTGGTCCAGGATGTTGCGCCTACATTTAAAATGCAGAGTCGCTGTGCAGGTGGTTCTCAGAGCCAGCACGAGCCAAGACTGCTCAGTCCTGGCTCAATCCTGGCTCCTGGAGCTACTTCTGCTACAGCTCTGCAGAGCGGTCCTATCAACTAATCGTACAGTCAATACAAATTGTATCAACTATACGATTAGCTAGGTAACTGCAGTTTAACATCCTTACTCCTGTATAACACAAGCCATAGAACTTGCCCAAAATAATTCCCAGAGCATAACTTCCACTCTCAGCTCCCGGAAAGGAGCACTGCAGGCCTCTGGCTGTTGTGAGTACACCAAGGCCACAGAAAAATAACTCGTAACACCGAGGTCTCAGACTTTATCTTTGATTTCAGTGTTTATTGTCTTTCTACCCTGA